ACCATAATGGCAAAGAAATTAATTAAAACTATACACATTTATATCCTACCCTAATCCAAGCTACCAGGTTAAAAGGAATAAGCAGGATCTACCTCCCTTTATCACAGTTGATTAAACTCTGAATTAACTGAAGTGTTAATGTTTGCATAGAAATAACCTGGAGTGTGTTTTTAAGGTGCTCAAGAGGTTATATCATAGCATTAGTTGGCTCCACTATTGTTATGTTTCAGAATAAAGTTATACTATGCTTGCAGGTTTGTATTGGTCTGGTTGCACAATACCTGGTCAACAGACAATAGCCTAAATTCTGTAAAGTGGCAAGGAAGATGTATCGAGGGGTAGCCGTGTTAGTCTGAATCTGTAAAAATAACGAAAAGTCCTGTGGCACCTTATAGACTAACAGATATATTGGATCATAAGCTTGCATGGGCAAAGACCCACTTCGTCAGGTGCATGTAGTGGAAATTCCAGAGGCAGGAATAAATATATAGACATAAGAAAAGAGTTCCAATCAAGAGTAAGGCTAAAGATAACGAGGTCAATTCAGTCAGGGAGGATGAGGCCTACTTCTAGCTAAGGAAGATGTAAATTACAACTGCTGCACCAGCCATTGTGCCTTGCAACCTTGAGGGTTCATCTTGAATTACAGTGTGATTGCTGCTATCTGCCCCGACTTTCTCTGAGGGGGAAGGGCAGCTTTAAATCTTGCTAGAGCCTTATAAGGTCTCTATTGGTTTAGCAGGTCTTTAGACTGTGCATGCCTCATTTTCTAGGCATCACAATCTACTTTTCAGGCTATGTTGGCTCCTCAGCATATGAAAGTGGCACAGCTGTGTGATGGGAACACTAAGGACCCTCATCAGGGTTTACACTAGTATAAACTCTGAAATGAATGTAGCTCTCAAAATCGAAATAATTTTTCATGCAAAGCCATGTAGGGTTTATGAAAAATTGCAATTCCTGGTCTGCCTCCTAAATAAATGAAACCTATTTTCATTTATGTCCCTGAAATGCACAGTATCAGAGAACGATCACAAGTCACAAAAATGCAATTTTCTCATAATAACCTTTGGCTTATTTGTGCTGCTTTTCATTGTCATTCACATTCTTACCAAATGAATGTATTCATATGGTGCCATTTATGTTATGTTTATACTTATGTTTGTCACTAAATGTATCACTAAATTTCAAATATTTAGTGCCTTGTGTACTCAATAAGTAATTGCTTATAAGTATTGCTTTAGCTTTTGGCACATTAGGACCTGACTAGTAGTTACAGATATTTGTGGTGGTACATAGAATCTAGATCTTTTCGTCAAAACATGATAAAAAATATTTGATAAACAGGTCACAAACCTGGGATAGATTCTACCCTCAGCTGTGTCATTAACTTCAATGGCAGTTGAAGGCATATGTTGAGGGAAGAAACGGATAAATGAAAATATATATGGGTATAGAGTGAATGGATGTATCATGGATATTTATGTCACTAGCAGACTTACCCGACATTATTCAAGTCCTTCAGGGCAGGGGCTGGAGCTGTGGGGGTGCAGGAGTTGGGACAGGGCCTTGGGGAAATGGAGGGGGGAAGTGCAAGAGGCAGAGTGTATCTGTATGCAAGAGTGAGGGTTAGGATGTGAGGAGGGGCTCAAGGTGGTGGTGGTAGGGTCCATCTAGCACAGGCCTTTTCTCTCCCCTGTAGTGCTCTCCCACCCACCAGGGGTATTTTCTTTGCTTCCTTGTCCTCCCAGCTGCCAGGGATGTTTTTTTTCCCTTCCCCCTTCTCCCCGTCCCCTCCGGCTGCCAAAGGCATTTTTTCTCTCCCTCTCCTCCAGCCCTGTGGCCAAGGGCCAGGAATAAGATAAAAGGTTTGGGACAGGGAGTCTGCTTGCCCTGTGTGCTGACTAGAGCCCCAGCCCTGCTGGCCACTCCCTTGATGATATGGCTTCCATCAGTGGTCACTCCTCAGAATAGCTCTCCCCTGCATGCTCCCTGTCCTCAGTGGGCACTCTCATATCGCGTCCCTAGGGTTGCCAGATGTCCGGTATTCACCCGGACAGTCCAGTATTTTCAGCTCATGTCCGGTAAAAAAATTCAGAGAATACCGGACACCTAAAATGTTCAGTATTTTCAGAATTTTTCCACGGCCAGGAGGCGAAAATGCTGGGCACCTGGCAACCCTACAAACACTCAGTGCCCAGCCCCCCCCCCCAACCCCCATGCTTACCTGGTTCACCAAGGCTGCCAGCACAAAATGGCTGCTGGCCAAAAGACCTAGGGTCTTAGTGCTCAACTGTGTTCCCTGTTCACTTAAAGGGGACATGCTGTTTTAATGCTTAATAAGTCCTTGGAGTCTTTTTTTCTTTTTCTTTTTTTTTTTTGCTCAACAACTTTGGTCTCCCTCCCCCCCCCCTTTTGCTCAACAACTTTGGTCTCCCCCCCCCCCCCCCTTTTTCCCCTTCAACAGAATTTTTTCCCGGTGCTTTTTTTTGGGGGGGGAGGGGGTGTTTGGTATTTTTGTTTCAACCATCTGGCAACCCTACACATCCCTCCCTTTGCCTGTTATGGAAAACAGTCCTTTTCCTGGGGCTTCTGGTTGTTCTGGCACAGCCAACTCCTGACCTTGCTTTAAGTTAGGAGTAGAGGAAGCTGCATGCCAAATTTTGTGGCCCTAGCTCTTACCATTTAGGAGGAGTTCTTGAACAAATGGACTCGCAGACAGACACACAGGCAGACCCACTCTAATATATATAAAATTTATATTTATATATTCATATATTTGTATGTGTGCTTTCATAAATTGTGAATGTCTTTGTGTAGCAGTCTGTATTCACAAATGTATAATATCTCTATAGTTACAAAGACATCTGGGCTATGTCTACACTTGCAGCTTCTTGCACAAGTACGGCCATTCTTGCGCAAGAATCAGCAGAGCGTCCACACTGCCCTCCCGCTGATGCACAAGGAAATTTACAGTACAGAGTGGTAAGAGAGGGCTTCTTGCGCAAGAGCTACTCTCTTTTTTTTAACGGGTGTAAGCCCTCTTGTGCAGGAGCTCTTGCGCAAGAAGGCAGTGTGGACGCTAGGCAGGGATTTCTTGTGCAAGAAAGCCCTATGGTTAAAATAGCCATCAACTTTCTTGCGCAAGAGAGCATTCACACTGCCATGAGCGCTCTTGCACAAAAGCACAGCTTGCACATGGCAGTGTGGACGTTTTCTTGTACAAGATTTCTTGCACAAGAACCCCTTACGCAAGAAGTGTAGACATAGCCATACAATGTGTGCATATTTGTGTACATACATCAACATATACAAACATATACATGGACATTTGTATAATGGAAAATATATCTATGTAATCAATATAAAAACTATAACATAGGGCCACATGCTGATCCCTTTCCTCACAATGAACACACTGAATAGAACCTTACGTCCTGTGTAGGCCCTCTTACTTGTAATTGAACTGCTCATGATATAAGGTGTTATTCAACATAAGTAAAAATATTGGAATCTGGCCCTAAATAACTATTGCCTTGATCCTTCAAACGTGAGAAATTACATGCCTGTTACTAATCCTAATGAGTTCATTGGGCTTGACGCTGAGAACTCACAGCTGCCACTGAAGGTGCAAATGCTCAAAACCTCTCCAGACCAGACCAATGGGAGCTATTCATGTGTCTGAAATTAGTATGTTTGCATGATCAGGTCTTATTTTATATAGTTTATGGTCTTTTCTAGATATTTTAACACTTGGGATCACATATGAATAATTGTAATTAAAATTAGTAGTGCTATAGAAGCAAATTTGCAAACTGATAATGGTACCGTCATTCCAAAAATTACATCACTAACTAAACAAGCCAATTAAAATCTGGAACAGCCTAGATAATATTGATTGATATGATTTAATATAAAGCCAATTTATTTTTCCTGTGCAAATCTAGACCTTCACATTTTAGATACTTTTTTATAAATATAATATTCTACAGTTGTATAGTGAAACCTAGTTAAAAAAATATGCTTTGCAGGAGTCAGCTACTTAAAAGGTGGCATTCATTTTTTTAATGTATCTGAAATAATATAAAATATTCTTTATAACTGTATATGTTCAGGAATTATATTTATTTCTTGGGAAAATAGCAACAACTACTACAGTACATACAACTAGTTTTTAATGTTTAAAAACTCCAGGTCTTCGGATGAAATATTTTGGCAATGTAATAAAGTAAACTCTATGTTCAGATTGCAGCTAAGAATGATTTACTTAATCATTTTGCTCATAGTTTTTATGACTGAATCCTGAACATCTGGTCATATGTTTTAGTTTATCTTAAACAAAGATAAAAATATATCAAGTTTATCTCCATAGTTTTATAGTTTTCTAGGCATCTTTTAAAGACTTGTTGAAGAGTTCTAAAAACATTTTGGTAACTCTGAGTATCACAGTGTTCATTAGTTGAATAATTTGGTGGGTGTTTTGCTTTCCATGTTCCCTTCCAAAGTGCTTATAATGCTACCTCAAAGAAAAAATTCTTGCAGTGATACAGAGCATTGGAAATGTTGGTTAAGAAATGCAGAGATACTGCCAGATGTGCTGCTTTGCAGAGATATTGGGCCATGTTTTATGTTGATTTAAAGTGAGTGCAATCCCACTAAAGCCAGTGGGACTGCGCAGAGTATAAATCATTCCAGAATTTGGCCTAATATGTTGCTTCTGAGTGCCAATTTGTATGCAGGTATCTCTTTGCTTTACACTGCTAGATATTTTGAATCTAATCCATCTTTTATCCATTTGTGCCTTAAAATAAATAATATTTCACAATGAATAGATTTGCATAGAAGCCAAAGTTTTTAAATTCCTCTTTAAACTTTAAAGCACCATTTAGTTACCTAAATTAGAAGAACATATCATTCCAACTTTCTTTTAATACTTTCAATATAAATGTAAAATACTTTTAAAGATTCTAATATTTCCCTTTCTTTTTACCTGCATTTAGCATCAACCAGTTTGGGACTTGGCTGTTGCGTGTGACAGAAACGGAGAGTCCCCAAGCCAGAAACTCTTAAAAGACTCCTTAGCAGCAAAAGATCTGCAGACCATGGAAAAACATCTAGCTGGTGCGTATAGTGACAAGGAATCATAAAATATCAAGCACTATTTACCTAGGTAACCCCACTGAAATCAGTTTTACTACTCATGCCAATAACGAGAGGAAACATTGGCTTAGATGCTGAGAAAAGTTGAGTGAGGTATTGAATTGTAACCTCTCTTTCTTTTCTTTTGATATTTTGTTGAACAGGAGAAAAACACATTTATTTGAAGTAAAAAATATTTAAACTTGACTGTGTATAGTAAGGTAATTAAAAAAATGACAGTTTCATTATATATTTACTCCCATACCTCAGTGATACCTTATGGCTGTGTCTACACTGCACCCCTTTTCCGGAAAAGGGATGCAGATTACACACTTCGGAATAAGCCCTTTTCCGGAGGATTTCTTATTCCTACTTTCAATAGGAATAAGAAATCCTCCGGAAAAGGGCTTATTTTCCGGAGAATCGCGTCTAGACCGGCGCTTTTCTCCGGCTTTTCCCCAAGCCGGAAAAAAGCGGCAGCCATGTAAATGCAAATGCCGCGGGGGATTTGCAATTCCGAAGTGTCTAATATGCATCCCTTTTCCGGAAAAGGGGTGCAGTGTAGACACAGTGTAAGTGAATAACACGAGACCAGTGAATTATTGTTGGTAGAACTCCAGGGTGTAAATCTTCCAAAAAACTTCAGCAGACCAGTGTACTCATACAATGTTGGCCTGAGGGATGACCCAGCCAGGTCTCTGTGAGATTTAATGGGAGTTTCGTTTGATGAGGATTAGAGCCTTAATACTGATCAGTACTGATCGTGGTAATTGTTTAAAGAGTACAATAAAGTAAAGGTGAAAGTATTGTCATTGGTTTCTTGAAAAATGCATTGGGAGATTTAAGGACAAAAGATCATAAGAACGGCCATACTGTGTCAGACCAAAGGTCCATCCAGCCCGGTACCCTGTCTGCCGGCAGTGGCCAATGCCAGGTGTCCCAGAGGGAGTGAATCAAACTGGTAATGATCAAGCGATCTCTCTCCTGCCATCCATCTCCACCCTCTGACAAACAGAGGCTAGGGACACCATCCCTTGCCCATATGGGCTAATAGCCATTAATAGACTTAACCTCCATGAATTTATCTAGTTCTCTTTTAAACCCTGTTATAGTCAAGGAGTTCCAAATATTGACTATGCGCTGTGTGAAGAAGAACTTCCTTTTATTAGTTTTAAACCTGCTGCCCATTAGTTTCATTTGGTGGCCCCTAGTACTTATGTTATGGGAACAAGTAAATAGCTTTTCCTTATTCACTTTCTCCACACCACTCATAATGTTATATACCTCTATCATATCTCCCCATAATCTCCTCTTTTTCAAGCTGAAAAGTCCCAGTCTCTTTAATCTTTCCTCATATGGGACCTGTTCCAAACCCCTAATAATTTTAGTTGCCCTTCTCTGCACCTTTTCTAATGCAAGTATATCTTTTTTGAGATGAGGAGACCACATCTGTACGCAGTATTTAAGATGTGGACATACCATGGATTTATATAAGGGCAATAAGATATTCTCCGTCTTATTCTCTATCCCTTTTTTAATGATTCCTAACATCCTGTTTGCTTTTTTGACTGCCGCTGCACACTGCATGGACGTCTTCAGAGAACTATCCACAATGAGTCCAAGATCTCTTTCATGAATAGTTGTAGCTAAATTAGCCCCCATCATATTATATGTATAGTTGGGGTTATTTTTTCCAATGTGCATTACGCAGACATGAAACAGCTGTGGGTGACAGAGTGTGTGTGTGAAAGAAACTGCTGGTGTGTGTTTGTGTATCTCACACTAGGAGTGGGATGATATTTAAAGAACTGCTGTAGCACAGTGGCTTTATTGAGGCAGTGTAAGGCAGGAAAGCACCCCTCTTATCACGCTTAGATGTTTTTGTTTCAGGAGACCACTTACCTTTTAACTCTGTGGTGACTGCATATCTAAGACAGACACCAGGCTAGAGTTGGCATTTGTGCCCTCCGCAAGGCATGACGGGTTGCTCTGCCAATGGAGCAGAACAGAGAGGGAATTGTGCCCCCAAGGAGTCCTGTACTCCTCGTTCTACAGGGAGGGGAGGGCCTGCCCTAGCCATAAATCACAAATGCTCTTCATGTGCTGGCTGAGCTGCATTGCCTTATGTTCTGGAGGGGCAGCACCAATGTCCATTCCTTTCCTCTCCCCCCTGTTTCCAGAGATACGTCTGCGCTACAGGACAAAGTCGAATTAAGCTACGTTAATTGTGTAGCTGAAGTTGAAGTATCTTAACTCAGTATTGGTCCTGTTCACACTGCAGGAAGTCGAAAGAAGAACACTTTTCCTTCGACTTCCCTAACTCCTCATGAAAGCAGGGTTATTGGCATTGACCAGAGTGCCCCTCTCACTGCGAATAAGCTGTCTTAACTAGACTGTGAATTCGAACCCTGGAAGATCAAAAGTGACAGCTTCGAACTTCCTCTGCAGTGTAGATGACCCCAGGTGAGTGGTGTAATGCCAACAGGTGGAACTGAACCTGGGACCTTTTGAGTTAAGTGCATGCGCCTCTACAGCGTGAGCTAAAAGCCAGCTGCCGCTCAGCTAATGCTATAGAGCAAACTCTTTCTTTCTCTCTCTAAGTGGTCTAAGTGCCAGTACATGGGACAGCTCACCACACCCAGTAGCTTGTGCACAATGCCTGCTTTTGCCCATCTGACCACACTCTTATTCAACATGGCTGGGAGGGGAAGGGAGAATAGAGCTTCCCTGAAGGTATGACTCAAAAGAACTGTTGATTGCTCATGTGTTTGTTCCCAGGGGATTTGTGGAGTGAGCGCTGCTACAATCAATGTCAGAATGTCATCAAACACTTCGCTTCACAACTGTGCCAATCCAGGTAACACTCCAGTTCAATGAGCTCACCTACATTTGAACTGGCATCTGTTTCTCCACTGGGGGGTAGTGTCTGGGTTTCTCTATACTCCTTCCACTGGGGTTGACAGCCCCCAGGCTAAGATTAAAGGGATGGTGATGGATAGGTTACCAGCCACAGGTAATAGTTCTGCAATTTCACATTTGAGTTCTTTCAGAACTCTCACTACCCTGGTCAGGTGGTAGGTAATATATCCCTACTGCCAGGGCTCGACAACCACTGAATCTACTCGCCCGTGGTGAGTAGTTTTCAGCCGGTTGCTCCGAGCGCCCCATTCACCGGTGCTTCGCACATGCGCAGTACTGGTCTGGCGCATGCGCAGTGCGGGGCTGGTGAATGGCTCTCACCGGGGTTTGTCAAGCCCTGCCTACTGCTACATTCTTATTATTAGAGCATGGAATTACTATCCGTAGATATTCAATAGAACATTTTGGTTCATTTAAGATTTTTACTTCATTTGTTTCTATATTTTCTTTCACATATAGCGCCATTCTCCCACCAGCATGACCTGTTCTGTCCTTCCAATATATTTAGTAGTATGACTGTGTCGCATTGATTGTCCTCATTCCACTCTACATTTCCGTGTTGCCTGTTATATCAATATCCTCCTTTAACACAAGGCATTCTAGTTCATCCGTCTTATTTTTTAGACTTCTAGCATTTGTGTACAAGCACTTTAAAAACTTGTCACTGTTTATTTGTCTGCCCTTTTCTGATGTGTCAGATTCTTTTTTATGTGAATGTTTTTCATCTGATCTGGCCCATATTTTATCCTCTTCCATCCTCTCCTCCTGACTAAAACCTAGAGAATCTTTACCAATAGACTCTCCTCTAAGAGACGTCTCTGACCGATCCATGTGCTCCTCTGCACCAATCTGCTTTCCCCCATCTCTTAGTTTAAAAACTGCTCTGTGACTTTTTTAATGTTAAGTGCCAGCAGTCTGGATCCGCTTTGGTTTAGGTGAAGCTCATCCTTCCTGTATAGGCTCCCCCTATCCCAAAAGTTTCCCCAGTTCCTTATAAAACTAAACCCCTCCTCCCTACACCATCGTCTTATCCACGCATTGAGACTCTGAAGCTCTGCCTGCCTACCTGGCCCTGCACGTGGAACTGGAAGCATTTCTGAGAATGCCATCATAGAGGTCCTGGATTTCAGTCTCTTTCCTAGCAGCCTAAATTTGGTCTCCAGGACGTCTCTGCTACCCTTCCCTATGTCATTGGTACCTACATGTACCACGACCATCGGCTCCTCCCCAGCACCCTGGCCTCCAAAGCCCGTACGCAGTCTCTGAGGGCCAGGAGCTCCTTGCACCAAATGCACACATACGCCACCCGCCCTTAGGGCAGGTAATCATACACTGAGTGCAATGAACAAGGATAGCCCCCACTCTGCTGCTGGGCTTCTGCCTGCATTCTCTCCTACAGCTACCTAGGTTATTGATAGGGTTTCTAGTTAAATCAGGAAGTTTTGATTAAAACCTTTAAACTAAACTGTAAGGAATGGCAAGTGTACCTTGGCCCCTTTCCTCTTCCCTTCCAAACTCCCTCTCAAAACTCCCTGCTTGCTGCCCCTGTTTGCAAAGCTTCCTCGTCCCTGACTCACTGCTTTATAAAGCCCTGGACTTCCTGATAGCCTCGCCACCTGACTAAGGATTAGCCAATTAACAGAAGAGGCTTCTAGATTTTAAACCTTTAGAAGCTCACAGCTTCCAACTGCCAGCCACAACCCACGCTCCTACAAACAAACAAACAAACACAAGCTCAGCACACAGCAACCCCCAAACACACACTACATATACCCACTTACCTCAAGGGTCCTGTATTTACTCCTCCTTTATCTGGAGAACTCCCTCTAAAACTCTCTGTTTGCTGCCCCTGTTCGCAAAATCGAATTTAGAATACAGTTTCCATTTTTTTTCATTGTAATGAATATTTTCTTGCTTCAGCTTTAAATATTTGATAAATAATTCCAAACATACACCCTTTAGTTGCAGAATAAGTCCAATGTACTCTGGATTATTGGTTAAATTAAACAATGAACACCACAAAAATATTTTTGCAGTATGCGTCCTTTTAAAGGGCATACGTA